GAGAAGCAATGAGCGGCTCTCACACTAGTGATGATTTGCTCCATTATATAAAGGAGGCAAATGGGGCGGCGCTGCATGGGAGGATGGTGCTATTAGTTATTCACAGCGCCTCATGCAGAAGGAGTTGTCCTGGCACCCTACCCGACACTTTTGACTTCTCAGTTCCTCCTCACTTCAACGATGTCTTGAGGCACTTCAAAAACCAATGGCCTCGTCCTTTCCACGAATATCGTTTTCGCCTTGAGTTTGAGACCCCTAGGAGGTTGTAACTAAACATTCCCCCTTCAGGTTACATCGAGTTTTGGACGGTGGAATGCCAATGGAGTCACTTTAGTTTGCCAGTGGTATTTTTAAGGAAATGGTTTTCTCAGACTCAGAAGAATACTGCGCGCAGATTTCTATTCTATTTTTCCAATTTTTCTATTTTGTACAAGTTTCTCGCTGATATTTCTTTTCCTTCCTGAGAAATAGTTTCGTGCATATACATATTACCCTCTTTCCAAAGGTTATTATTGGGGTGAAAATGTATTTTATGGGGGCCACTCCAGTGCGCCTTCCATCTTTGACACTAAAGATAAAGCGAGAATACGAGCGTTATAACGTGCAATAACAACAAGAAATGGGGACTTTTGAAAATGATCTGAATGATAATGGCTGAATAAAATCAACTTGATCGGGGGTCGATACCAACCGTTTTATCCATAAGGTTAGCATCATAGTTGTTCGTAACGCTAGAGACGCAGAGCACAACAAATTTCCCCCGTTCGGCTCCATTCCACCATATATTAGCCCTGTAATATTGTCCCAGCCTCCTGAACAAATAGCCACTTAGTCGCTCGAGGAGCCTGAAGGATAACGGACCTCACTTCCTGAGATCCTCGCCCCTTCATCGGTGGCCCACGGTCCTAGGCTAACTCATTAGCTCTGGGTCAGGCGGGGTGCAAAATCCGCTACATTAATGGTCTCGAAAGTGTCTGATCAAGAAATCAGGATTTCGTCGTGAGACTATTGCGGTCTTGCAAGGTGGAATTCGCTTCTTTACGGCCAAATGTAAGCCCCAGAGTTTTTCTGCTCACTTCATCTCTGCTCTATTTCATACATTTCTCTAGCTCACTTCCAATTGTAAGTTGTTTGATCCTTTTCACCTCTTTCCCTTTTTCTTCTTATTATTTTCTGGCTACGCCACAAATCCTGTCATAAATTTGTACGGTTTTTTTTCGATGTACTAAATAAACAGACAAGTAAAAAAATAAATGAACAGATACGAGGAAATTTCAAGTAGGTTTATCTTTCCCAGCTTCAAGATTGGGAATTCCATGAAATACCCCATTTTGAAACAAATGACGAGCATTTGTTTAAAGCTCGTTGTTCCGCATTTTTTGTCCTACGACATAATTCGCGGCGCACTATGTAATTTTACAAGTGCAGATCGAAAAAAACCAGATTAGTCCCCCGTCAACCGCCGGGACCTTCCTTTCCTGCGCAAGCTTTCTATCCTCCGCTATGGTCCCTTCCTCCTGTGACACCAACACCTCTGGAAGTGACGCGTATGCAACACAATGGTGTTTCATACAGTAGAAGGGACACAATCATGATATGACGGTAGATTTTTCGCTTCCCTTCCTCACCAGATTAGTCCCCCGTCAACCGCCGGGACCTTCCTTTCCTGCGCAAGCTTTCTATCCTCCGCTATGGTCCCTTCCTCCTGTGACACCAACACCTGGAAGTGACGCGTATGCAACACAATGGTGTTTCATACAGTAGAAGGGACACAATCATGATATGACGGTAGATTTTTCGCTTCCCTTCCTCATCCTCCCTTCCTCTCTCCACTGCCCTCCAGCTGCCACTGCAGCACCATGTGGAATGAACGGAAGTGTGCTAAGCAGGTGTTTATATAGCCCTAAGAGTGTTATCACAACTATCCTGCTACAAAACATTGATATCTCAAATCCTGTAAGCTACCCGATTTGTTAGCGGTTTGTTTATCCCATGAGCTTCCTTCTCACTCACTTCATTTTGCGGACGGACACACATACATACATACATACACACATACAGACATACAAACCGACACACAAAGTTAGCGCTTTATAAAATAGAAGGATATTAAGATTATTTTTCCGGCTAGCCACATACCCATACGTTGTACGGCGATTTTTTTCGATGTACTAAATAAACAGACAAGTGTAAAAAATAAATGAACAGATACGAGGAAATTTCAAGTAGTTTATCTTTCCCAGCTTCAAGATTGGGAATTCCATGAAATACCCCATTTTGAAACAAATGACGAGCATTTGTTTAAAGCTCGTTGTTCCGCATTTTTTGTCCTACGACATAATCGCGGCGCACTATGTAATTCTACAAGTGCAGATCGAAACAGTCCTTCTATTTCGAATGAGGCAATCCGTAAGAGCGCCTGACGAACTTATGGTTAGCAGTTTATGTCCTCGTTTCAGAAAACCTGTTCTCCCATGAAAAAACACTGGTTTCGCACACTTGTGAAGATGTTTTTTTGGGAGCGTGAGACCCAATTTCTGCCTTCTCACCCACTCGCTTATCTTCCCTTTCTAGAGCTGACTGCGCAATTTGTTTAATTCAGATATTTTTTCTAACAGCTGTTTTGTTGCTATTTCGTGAGTATTGATCAACAAATAGTAAATAGATAATGGTTCTGGAAAACTTATCGCTGGGAGCTCCTTGGTTGTCATACTTCTTCGTCCGGAGAAAAATCCTACCACCTTGCTCCAGCTACTTTAAATGCCCTCTGCATAATGGAATAGGGTGATTTCCTGTGCTGATTCACTAAACCACGAGCAATATCCCCCTTGCTTTGTCAGAAAATCAATGCCTATTTCTCCTGTGAATATATTAGCCAGCCCTGGCTCTGAAGGGCTTTTCCACTGCTTGGAGTTTTCTCGAAAAATCGATCCCATTTCAAATTTACCCTCCCGTCTGTGTTCAAACATTTACGGCTTTTATGGTTCAAAGCATAGTTAAGACCAGCTTTGAGGTTCCATCTGAAATAGTTGATGAATGACCTGTTCCGGGATCAAGAGAAGGGAAGCTTATCTGGCCAAGAGGGCTCTAGCTGCGGACGAAATATCGTGAATTTTTTTTGACTTGAAAAGGAGTTTTTGTGAAAACTGGAGAAATATCGGAAACCAACTAAAGTGGAGGGAGGGCCGGATATCAGAAATCGGACAAACATCACGTCTGATCCTGCTTGGGTCAACTTGTCCGAGAAACGACTCGGGAATTCTGAATCATCTCGTAGAACGGTAGCCTGCGATGTTGACATTAACAATTGAATTGTATGGTTCTTTGTACCATGCACTGCTGATAATTGGAGCCTTCATCTACTGGCGTGACGTTTCGACCTGTGCGTCTTCTTAAAAGGAGAATTTACGATGAAAGTTGGATCATTGGAAATCAGGGTAGAGGTAATGAAAAGGTAGCTCATTGGAAATAAGGGTAGAGGTGGTCAGTGGAGCAGGGATGAAGAAGAAACCATTTGAAACGGCCCGAAACCCGAGAAATGGGACCCCTTCCTTGCCCGTTGATTTGCGCATTGATGCGACTCTCATCGCTGTGCCCTCTTCAACACTACGCTCTCTCTCTGCTATCTAATCACTCGCCACGTATAGACCTGCGGCGAGTGATTAGATAGTCGGTGGGCGTACCCCGCCAACCGCGCCAAGAGTGAGCCATGCTAGATCGCCGAGGTCAAATCTTTCGCTGCCAATTGCGCGTCGGTCAGCACCCTCAGGAGGTCCGCCTGTCTCCCAACTATGCAATTTCCCCTTCTTTGACCTTCGTTCTTATCGTGAATTCCTCCTCATCATTAGCTCATGCTCTGTAAATCGAGCAAATCCTCGCAGTACTGGTGCCTTTGGCTTTTGAAGAAGACGAGAACGCCTACACGATAAGCCAATAAATAAAGGTCCCAATTATCGTGGCACAAAGGAACTGAAAATTTGACTAATAATGCCGAGATTTTAACAGAGGATGTAACAGACATGGAGTCTGTTGACCTTATCCACTACAAAATGATCGCAGATGTGATTCATGTCAGCCACGCGAGTGAAAACTGAAAAAAAATTTCCAGGCAACCATGGACGATCTTCATTATTCAATAGCGCAACCAAAGCACCGAGTTGAAATTCGTGAATTTCTTATGAATCACTTTTTAGTGGAGGAAACGATAAATGCGGTAAGTTTTAGTTTCTTAGTTTTACATAGTTTTCTTTTTTACTTTCTTTTTACATAGTCGACTCTGCACTGACATGAGCGTTTATTTCACGACCACCTATGGGGGAGGGGCAGTTGTTGTTGTCGGCATTGACTGGGGCGGATGGTTTGGTAGAATTCGCAACTTTATGGACTGGAGCCGACAGTCCACAAAGTTGTCTCATTGTCGCCTCGGACTGATTGTGGTGGTGGTGGTGATGTTGTTGCCTTGTCTCTCCATTCCATTTTTTCTTCATCGGTTCGCCCTCGTCCAAGCGCCTATGTTCTTTGCCCAAAGCTCATACAACGCACAACGCTTGCTGAAGAAATAGATTAAGGATCTTTTGTTTAGTTCCTCGTCAAGGGGATAGTTTGCAGCTGAATTTTTCTGAAGTAGTAGTTTACATTTAGCGGTAGTTAAGTGCACACCCCTGGAGTAGCATGTGTTTGGTGTCTGTTAAACGAGGAGTTTACGATATGAACGAAGGTCAATGAAAGGGGAACTTGCGTGATGAAGAAAGAGGCGGGCTTCCTAAGGGTGTGGACACACCAACTCGAATGATATTACTCCTGAACTTGGATGACCTTCCCTTCGACGTCCGACTGCCCGGAGCCGCCTCCCAACCACTATGTCTAATCAGGCTCGTCCAGGTTATACGAGATTATTAGATAGCAGAGAGAGCGTTAGTGTTGAAGAGGGCACAACGATGAGAGTCGCATCAATGCGAAAACCAACGGGTAAGGAAGGGGTCCATTTTCAGGTTCTGGACCATTCGTATAACTTCGTCAATCCCCATACTTACAACTGCTGCCCACAAGTTCATTCTCAAAGCTGACTGCCTAACCATAGGACGCATGGTGGAGCCTCTAAAGAAAAAATATATCACTTTCAGGCCACCAGTATCACTGAAGACGAATTTGCACCGTTCGCCGACACTGTTCTCGATACATCATTGCGGAAACCACTTTCCGTTATATGCCGAGCTGGTGAGACTCTAGGAAAAAGTTGTTTAGATAAAGATATCTAATCTGGACCACTGAATTAAAATGATAGGTCAGCAAATCAGGTACAATTTATGAATGGAAGATCATTAGTAATAAATGAAAGGACGTAGAGTGACGGATCCATAGGTGCACTCTTGCTCTGAATGGAGCAACCTTGCCTCTACGCTATTGCCTGACAGGGATTTGCCAGGAACATGAGTTCATGCGATACGGTTACCAGGTAACGATGTGAGAGAAACACCGTGAGTGATCCATAACTCTCAGTTGGAACCAAATGAGGGACCTCCGTCTCTAGGTTCTATGTACATCTATCCTCTTCCATCCTTCCTGCATCTACAAGTGATCTTATCTTACAAATGACTCAAATGAAAAATTTGAGGTGCGGGGGGTTCATGTTACTATTACCGCAACAGGTTAAAATAACAAAAACTTCCAAATTGGTCTTCAAAAAAACCGTAAACAACAGGATCCCATGAAAATTCTCAAGAACTTTTATTACATGTTTCCAAGAAGCCCCTACAGCGAACTAAATCCTACTCTCTTTTCTTGAAATATACAGCTAATTCCACCCCTTCCCAAAGAGTGGAATACGACCCCCTTCAGAAGAATCCTGGATGTTGGTCAACTTGGTGTTGGCGCGGTGCTAGTGCGTGCGCTTCAAGCGTCTCCACATATCTATAGATTTCCACTGAAATGTGTTGTAGTGTAATTCAGGGTTCCGTTAGTGTCAGGTCGACTCGCGCGACGCGCGATCGTTGGTCAACGACCGCGGCAAACAGCGATTGGACAGCCGAGTAGCCTGTCTGCAACGGCCTGCTGGCATTTTGCCAAAACCTTAGGCTAATATCGATACGATGCGATTTATTGGGTGCTGGGCGACTGTATCATAGCGCAGTTTTCTTAGTTCTTCGCAGTGCTTGATACCATGTCCATGATTATAAGTTATTAGAGCTATGCCACAATTAAATTGTTATTAGCCACGTTCATGTTCTACCTAGCAGGTACATATGTGTCGTTGTTTAACACGCATATTATGCTCCTTTCTTTGAATAGATGAGGAAGAGGGTGAAATGCGCAGGTTTTGAAAGGAGCGTCTCCTTCCCCGAATCAGACGAGAACGTATTGGAGCGCTTTCATTCTAGATAATGATATGATACATGAGCGTAAGATTAAAAAGAGCCGAATAAGTCTGAACTAATTATTGAGTGTATTGCGATGTTCTAACAAAAATGACGCATTTCCTAGAATAAAAGATTCGTATAACTTCTCCAGCTGCTAATCGCACTTAAAACGGCACTAGTGGCAATGGCTTGAAAAAACCGCGTGACATGAGCAGTTTACTGTTCTTTCCGAATTTCCCTGCCCCTCCTGGGCTTAGTCTAGACAATGACCCATATCTTACGATAGCGCCATACTTTATTCCAAGACATTTATTAAAGTGTCGCTTCAACAAATATGTAGTTAAGCAGCAAAACGAAGATGATGTAGGATATGAAAAGGTTCAAAGGAGAAGAAACGTGGACGGATGAGAATGGCAGCCTCGCCGCGCCCAATAGCCAATCGGCCGCGCGGCGAATCTCGGCTGGCCGCGCGCTGCGCGTATCGAACCTGACCATTGTCGGAGAGACTTGATCGACTCCAAGGTGATTGTTAGTGAGAGCTACTTCATCGAACATTCAACGTTCAGAATAAAGGAGCTGGTGATGGCGGCGTGCGTTGCAATTCACTTGCCTCGATTCAGGTCACCCGAAATAGTGGGACATCCAACTACAATTTTCTCGAGCAAGCTCTATGTGAAGGCATTAGACCAGGGGCGGTATTCAATCCTTCCCCCAGGGGGATATATCCCCCTCCTCTGATTCAATCCTCTGGGGGGACAAAAAAGGGTTGCGTCATAGGACCTAGCATACCTCTGTGTTTCTACCTGCCAGACAGTTAGAGCAGCGCTACTACCCTCCACTGATGAAGCACTCTTTCCCCTGAGGGGTCGCGCTGCTCTAACTGTCTGGCAGGTAGAAACACAGAGGTATGCGAGGTCCTATGACGCAACCCTTTTTTGTCCCCAGAGGATTGAATCAGAGTAGGGGGATATATCCCCCTGGGGGAAGGATTGAATACCGCCCCTGGTTCCAATTGTATATGCTTGAGCATAAGCCAATGTGTTTGCATAAGCCTAAACCTCAGCCTAAACCCAAGCCTAACCTTAGGCTTCAAAGATAGTGCCGCTCTTGTAATCTGACCTCAGAAGAAGAACTGAGCGTCTCCTGGCGTTATTCAATGCATTCTATTATATTTATTTCGATATTTTCACTTTAGGAAATGGTGAGATCGTTGGTGTCGCTTTGCACACAATTCATCGACGTGGTGAGCCTGTAAATGCTGAACCGTTAGGGAACAAGGCCAAACGTCCCCAAATCGACGCCATAGGTAATGTTGTTTCGAGGCCAAACTTTCCAGCCTACTTCTTCTTCTGCAGCTTCACTCGCTTATACACCAAGGTTCAAACCTTTTTCAATAACAGAACAGGCCACACCTGTCGCTCGCGAAAACGACATATGCCATAGTAGATTCTCTCTGAAAAACTAACGAACTCTATTTCTTTGCGATATTCGTCTTGGACTTGAACTGCTCGCGGATAAAAATTACCTCTCTGAAAGAAGGAATCCGCGCGCAGGGTCAACCGTCCGTTGGACAAAGTCCAACGCATGGCTCTCTAGCGTGTGAGAGTAATGCCGAGAGTGAACGTACGCACGGAGACACAGACGGCTCGCGCAAGGCGAGTGCGAATGCCGGCGCGGAGAGCGGTCAACGTCGGTCCAACGTCGGTCCAATGTCGGTCCAACGTAACGGTTGACCCTGCTTCGCGGTGACAAGAAGAGTGTGGATTGCCAACAAAACCTATGATTCACGAGTCAGGGAGTGGCAGCAGCGCGGCCGGTTTACGGGAACAGAATCTTTTATGGCAGGATGCTGTTATGCTAGTAAAACATATTCAGGAAATGAAAAATAAAGAAGTATCGGGCCGCAAACATGAATAAGGCTAAAGGAGTTAGAGGAGTTCGTATCTGACCAATATCTGATTGTAATGCGCCATGCATTCTACTAACATAGGGAATCTTGGGGCTATTCTGAAAGCGATTTGAATATAAGGCTATACCGAAAGCAATTTGAATACAAACATGAAGACAAAACGGACTTGGAGGGCAGGCGAAATGAAAGATCGGATCACCCATCCTTAATCAAAGACGTGAGTCCAAGATAACAATGGGCTGCGGGTTAAGTTCAATAAATGAAGCAATGAGAGATAACGGATGAGGGTTTGAAAAGAACAAAGTGAAAACACTGGTTAACGACCACAGAGCCCCACTCTCTTTCAGGACGCATCCACTCTGGGTATCCGAAAATAAGGTGATGGGCGAGGGGCGGGGGGGAAAGGTGCAACACAGGCTATGACAGTTCCCACGAACCTATTCCAGAGGTGCTCCCCGCCATAGAAATGAATGGCATGAAACAGCGCAGCCGCAACCCTCGCAGCCGTTGCTCTCTCGCAGCTCAGATGACAGTTGTTGACCGCAGAGGCGGAATTGCTAACGAAAGGTGTTGAGTCGAGCCAACCTTCGGACAATGTTAAAAGCAATCGGGGCCTAATATCGCGACTTCCTACACCGACAAAAAGGGGACAGGGCATGAACGCATCCACTTGTTACACACGTCTCGAGGATGAAGAGGCTGAAACGCAGCTTAATCCGCGCACGAATCCTAAATGATACGGCAAGGCTTATCTGACCTAAGGATGCGAAACGCCTAAGGATTATTAACCTTAGACGAGCGCATGCTAAACACGCGCTTCTCTACTAAAGCACTTCGCTCGTCCATGCTCGCTATACCTCCTCGAGAAACCAGGGCAGCCCACACACTACAAGTGGACCGCCTTCACAAAAATACCCTATTTTCCGGTGTATAAGCCCCCGCTAGTATCATGTAAAAACACCTCCACTGGTGCAGTGTACTTGAGTACATCTAGAGTCAACCGTAACATGCCCATAGGGGTAATTCGATATGCTGATCACGAAAACGACATTCGTTTTTAGCGGTGGCGGCATCTGGCGCCAGTTGGCGCCACCTTGTCACGACCCTTGTTTTCGCCAAAATCGGTGTAAACTTCAGTATAGGGGTTATTTGGGACCCTGATTACGAATATGACATTCGTTTTTGGCGTTAACGTTGTTTAGTGCACATGTCTCGGTTGGAGAGCGCAGACGAGCAGAAAATAGGCGTCAAACAGCGCCAGCGCCTATAATGAATGTCATATTCGTAATCAGGGTCCCAAATAACCCCTGTACTGAAGTTTACACCGATTTTGACGAAAACAAGGGTCGTGACAAGGTGGCGCCAACTGGCGCCAGATGGCGCCAGCGCTGAAAATGAAAGTCATTTTCGTGATCAGGGCATCGACTTACCTCTATAGGCAAATTTGCGGTGGTTTCTAAGGTGTACAAAGTTACACTGCGCGAGCGGGGGTGGTTTTACGTGAAATCGGCGCGGGCTTTATACACCGGAAAATTAGCCGGAGGGTTTAATTGTTCTTCCCAGTGAAGCGATTTATGCGGTCGATGTTTTATTTTAATCATAATTCATCTAATTACAACTATCATTCACTAAACTATACAACTATTCACGATGGAAGCAACTAAATTATCATTAAGCGTGACAAGCGGCGTCTCTGTCAGCTTGCACGACATCTGTTTTTGCCAAATTAGGCGTAAACCTCCGTAAAAGGGATATTTGGTGTCCTGATTACGAATATGACATTCAAATTACTCTATGGGCAAACGGCTGCCTCTAGATATTCTAAAGCGCACTGCATCAGCGGATGTGTTTTACGTGACATTTGATTTTCTATCTATACCTACCAGAAATTAGGGTGGGTTAATGTGTATTCTTCTTAATAGGCGTGCATCTATTAGGGTGAATGTCCTATACGATGCTTTTCAGCTTCGATATGCAATGAATGTCATAAAGACGTGTGGCAAATACTCGGACCGGAAATAAATACAGTGCTCGAGCTGTAAGCCTCTTCGGGTTTTTCTATTTTGGCAATCCACACGATATTCATTTTCAGGGATATTATTAGTGTAGCCGAGCCAGTATCAACGCGAGGCAGTTGCGGAGAAAATGTGGAGGAATGTCAGATTTCACCCGCAGGTGCCTCAAGGTGACTGCCGCTTCGGTTATTTAGCGATTTTAAAGGAATCTTGCGCGGAAAATTCTTGCACTCTTTCCTAACATGAATATGTCAGTTGTGATCACTGGAAATAGCACACAAAGTTTCACGCATGAAGATTCGGTTTCTGAAGAGAAACAAACGTACAAAAACTACACGTTATGGACCATCGAAGGACCAGGAGGCAGAGCCAGGCGAGGCATGGAAAGAAGACGGCGTTTGGCCGGCTACGTACCAGGCGACGCAATGAGAGAATCGGGTTAAAGCGCGCGATTCGGAGAGTGGAGACAAATCGATCGATGGAATAGGATGGAGTAGAAGTGTAAGATGTGAATGCAACGAAGCAGAAGGCCAGAAAGAGCTTCTAGTGAATGCACTCCAAGAACCAAGTTTGAGCATCCCCGTCGCCAGCATTCGTGAAAGACGTCCGTGGGCAATTCGAACGCGTAGCAGCCTTTTCGAGTTTTCGAATTTCTAATCAAAACGAAAGCAATACTTCAGTTCTTTTCACTATTATCGTGGATAATGAGTCTCAAGCCAGTGATTTATGGCTGAAATAGAATCATGATTTTTCCGCGCAAGATTCCTTTAAATTTCTGGAGCAGAGTCAGAAAAAAAAATGACACTGCCTGAGGGCCAGCTCAAGTTTCATCTTCTAGGCCTCTATAAGAAATTCTGGAACGCAAATTGATAGAAGTATTAGGTAAGGTAGTCTTTATCGCGGCAGTTAAACCTGAGTCACCGTGTACGCGACTGCATCACGGTTTATCTCCTGCGCGCAACACGGCTTTGCCGTTGTGCTGCCGCAATCGGAATCTGATGACCCATATCCCAGATGAGTAAAGGGTAGTGTACGCTTCTATCCACGTCTTCAGGTTGGATATGAACGAAAACGTTGGGACTGTTAAAGGACGAATTCACGATCAGAATGAAAGTCGAAGGAGTAATTCACCTAGTTGAGGGACCCGCGGACCTCCTAAGGGTGCGGACTGAAGCGCAATTGGCACCAAAGGAGTTGACCTCGGCGACCTATTAAGGCTCAATCTTGGCGCGGTGGGCCAGTGCACGCCCACCGATCATCTGATCACTCGCCGCAGGTCTATACGTGGCGAGTGATTAGATAGCTGAGAGAGCGTAGTGTTGAAGAGGGCACAGCGATGAGAGTCGCATCAATGCTCAAATCAACGGGCAAGGAAGGGGTCCCATTTCTCGGGTTCTGGGCCGTTTCTCATGGTTCTTCCTTCTTTCGTGTACCACTCACCATCCCTAGGTTAATTTGAAATGGGTTGCTTTTTCATCGTGAATTCGTCCTTTAAGTGTCAGCTTGGGATAATGCAATGGAAACAGAAGCGCTTACGACTCAGAAGCCGCTCACAAGGTTTCCGTTTTTACTTTTTTGAAAGAAGCTTTTTTCTGACGAAGGAGAGCCAGTGTAGGGCCCAGACCTTGGCGCGCCTCTCGTCGCTCATAGCCAGCTGCAAGCAGTGAGATTAGGTGGTTGTGACGGACCCTCCGGTTTCAGCTGCTCCGTCATTTTTTGCTCTGAAGTGCGGATGGAAGTCTTCGACGCGTCTCTGCATTTTGCTAATTTTTAATTCTAACGAGGATTCAGCGAACTTAAACCATAATATTCAGGAGCATAGCATTCAAGGAGTCGTCACTCAAGCAACATCACACGCGAATCAAACACTACTGAAAAATCGAGGACATACGGTATTTCACTGTTCAATTTAACCTGCATTTTTATAAAATTCCCTTATTTCACTGAACAATGTCTCACGCGTGCATCGGGATGTCCAGTGTCTTCCATTCAACATCCAAGCCCACAAAATTCGTTGAACGGTTCCCCTTCTTGCCTTCAACCTTCCTTGCGGTGTGCCCGGCTACCCAGTTGATCCGCCTCACTCATGAACACGAAGCGTTTCATTAGTTTCTCTCAGAACTTTCGAGAAGTTCCGCCCACTACGCTGGCGATCGTTAGTGTTTTTTGACATGCAAAATTAAGCCCATCATCTCTCCGACCCTTCGAACCCCTTCATGATGCGCCCAGTCCCCATGACGTTCGATTGCTTCGCAAATGTGGCAACATCGCTGTTTTCTGATCCTCGACTGAATTTTGGATTCCCTCGCGTGTATCGAGATATCCCATGATAGCA